ATTAGTGGAACGAAATATATAGCTTTTTTTTTAAAATACTATTAGAAAACTTTTTATATTAGAAAGTACTATCAAAATAAATTCTTAGTTATATAAAAATTTTAGTTAATGTGTGCTGATATCTAATAATAAAAAATCGAGTTTGCGTTTTTTATCTAATTCATGTTAATTTCAAACTCAAGAACAGCATTTGGTATTGTAGCCCAAATTTTTTTTAAATACATAATTCAAACCTGAATTTGATAACTAACCTTTCTTTCGGAACAAGTATTTTATAATATTGTGATATGTAAAGTAACTCCGGAAGACACAAAAAATTATTAAAATTTTCGCTATTAGTGTTTGCTTTAAAAAATTTGGTGAGCCAACATTAATCTATTAATCCACAATTTATTTAACTCCTATGATAATAATTTAAACAAATTGTTACATTGAAACATACCTCAAAAGTCTTGCACTCTTAATTTTTTATCATTATTACGATAATAATAGTCACACCCAAATACGTGCGTGTAATCACAACTAGTAGTCACACCAATATACGTGCGTCTTTATAATAACTAGTCACACCTATATACGTGCGTTTAATAATAACTAGTAATCGCACCTATATACGTGCGTATAATCATAACTAGTAATCGCACATATATACGTACATGTAATCATAACTAATAGTCGCACCAATATACGTGCATGTAATTATAACTTGTAGTCACATTATAAACATGTGTGTTTTCATAACTAATTATCGCACTAATATACGTGCATGTAATAACTAATAACGCACAAATACGTGCGTTTTTATAATAACTAATAGTCGCACCTATATGCGTGCGTTTAATCTCAACTAGTAGTCGCACCAATATATATGCATTTTTATAATAACTAATAATTGCACCTATATACATGCGTGTAATTACAACAAGTAGTCGCACAAATATACGTGCGTTTTTATAATAATTATAGTCGCACCTATATACGTGCGTTTTTATAATAATTATAGTCGCACCTATATACGTGCGTTTTTATAATAACTACTAGTCGCACCTATATACGTGCGTGTAATCACAACTAGTAGTCGCACTATAAACGTGCGTGTGTTCATAACTAATAATCGACTAAAATACGTGCGCGTAATAACTAATAATGCACAAAATACGTGAGTATTTATAATAACTACTAGTCGCACCTATATACGTGCATGTAATCACAACTAGTAGTCGCACTATAAACGTGCATGTGTTCATAACTAATAATCGCACTAAAATACGTGCGCGTAATAACTAATAATGCACAAAATACGTGAGTATTTATAATAACTACTACAGTACTAGTCGCACCTATATACGTGCGTATTATTATAAATAAATCTAATAAATCTGCCTGATTTCAATGATGGGGTAAAATGATAAATTGTTAACTATTAATTAATGTAGCAGTTCTGGACAGCGTAAAAAAAAAATTTACAATTATTATTATCGTTGCTTTTATGATAAAGATATTCTAATAATTTAATTTTAAATTATCTAATTTAACAATTTATTGTTAAATTGTTGGTTCTTTATTAATATTTACAATTCCCATCACTAGCTGCTAACCAATAATTTAATATTGTTTATATTTATTTACGAAAAAAAGAAATTTTATTTACATTGTAATATGATTGTTTTTTAACGATAGAAAAAAAAAAATTTTTTAAAATTTAATTCTAATCATCAGGATTTACTCTTCTTCCGTAATCAATGCTCTGAGTCATAATATTTCTCGCATCATCATATCTACATTGAGGTCCATAACTTCTATAATTAGTCGAACGGTAGTTTCAGGGACTAGAACATCATGAAGAAATTGGAATTCTGTTTGTGGTGCACAGTGGTTTGATATAATATCCATAAATATTTCTTTTAACGTTTCGAATATAATAATCAAACCTTTTGGTCCGTAATAACCAGGCTATAATAATAAATTAAAAATATGCAACTTAATACCACTGTAGATCAATTAGTTTTAATATATAGATACATACCATGAGTTGATTAAAAGTATTGTATTGTATCATAAGAGTGTGAGATTTTGCAACACCAACGTTAGTGATGATATCCACTGCTAATTGATGGAAATAACCTACATCTTCATTTTTAGCAATTTTAAGAAGTATGTCTTTAAGTTTTAGTATGCGATTTGATAAATTATCAAAGTTAACTGTGGGGTATTTTTTGGTTTCGGTATCGTCTATTGTTGAAAATTATACTATAAATCATTAGTATATAATATTAATCAATGCTTTATTATTGTTGTAGGATGATCATATAGTTTAAAATAGATACAAGAAATTTGTCTAAAAAGACTAAGTGTAAAATCGAGCATCAAAAAAGTATCAATTTCGTCTCAAAGTGATGAGTAAAAAAAGTAAAAGTATCTAAAATTCCTAAGAGTAATTAATCCAATTATTACCTTCACTCGCATCGCTATCATTATCACTGGCAAGAACGGTTGCTATATAAAATGTTTTATTATTAATATTGCTGTCTAGATAAGCTATCATTGCTAATGAAAAAATACCTTTATTTTTAATTAATTCAGCGAATTCAACATCGTTACCTTTATTGAATTAAAGAATCGATCAGCATTTATAAATTTAATATTGTTAAACCTGTATCAAATCTAACTTACATTCTATATAATATCGGAACCACATGATTAATGAGTCAATTTTTTTTCTTTTATCTAGAAATTTTGATTTATAAATTAAAATAAACATAAGAAATCAAGTAAAAAATAAAATAAAATAAAATACCATGTTGGCCCAAAAAAAAGGTGGTTTGAAAAGGGAGATCTATGAAATGCTTTCGTATCAAATCATAGAGCTCCGCGACTTTCTTATATATTGAATAATCATGTTTAAGAAGACCCTTGTTATCACATCATTATTTACTATATAATTTCCAAGTAGAAAATAAATGCATCTTTGCATTTTTACTTCATCGAGAGTATATCCTTTCTCTTCTGAAGTTTTTTTTGGGTGTTTTGAAAACCAGTTTTCTTTGAAATTTTTAATGAATTCTTTTTTATTAGAATTCTCATATTGAGTTTTGATATCGTTCCATTCTATTTCCTCCAGTTTTTCAGTACAAGATTTAGTGTTACGGATTTTGGAGAGTATAAAAATGCAGGAGTTCACATCGGAACTTGGTAGTCCTGATTTCCACATTTCTTCATCAATGGCGTTTACTTTTTTTTCGGTCTTTTTGTTTTAATAAATAATCCAGACGATTCTAATGCTTCAACTTTTAGAAAGTTATTATGAATATAAATTTCACAAAAAAAAAAAAAAAAAAAAAATCCACGGTCAACTTATGAGTCTTCTTTTTTTATCTGGATCATTATAAAGCTTGACAACATTTTCGACTATAGTTTGTGGCTAAAATATTAAAAAAGGGTTAAATTAAGTAATAAAATTTGACTTTTTAAAATAGCGTAAATATTTAATGACTAGTTTGTTTGATTATTATTTTGATTATTATTTTACTTACTTCATTCAATTGATTATTAAGATCTTCTATTGTTGTAGTAAAATAAGTTATTTCTTCTTCAAGGTCTTTAATTTGTTGATCTTTATCTGTTTATCATAAATTGTAAGTTGTAAAATTTTTAAAATAGAAAATCCAAAAAAACTTTTAAAATAAACAACTTGTATTTCTTGTGACTGGGCGACGAGCAGCTATTTATAGAAATTTTAGTAAGATAAAGTAATCTTTTATAAACTAAAAAAATTAAAAAATAAATAACTTGTTTTTCACGTGACCGAACGAGAAGCTATGTTAAATAAATTTTGATATTAAAAAAAGTCAATGATTTTACTGACATTAAGAAAAAAGATCTTTGAATACCCATCTAATCCTTTAAGAAAAATTAAAATTCAGAAAGACAAGTGCCGACTAATTTATTATTATCGTGTATGTGCGAATAATTATTTACAAGATTGCCCTAAATTTTGGAACAATTTATGATTTTTTTTAGGGTGCTGGTATTCATACCCCCACTTTTGGTATTCGTACCCCCCAAATTTTAGAAAAGTGCTTTAAAAGAGATAATCTT